GATTTTACTTATTTATTTGACAGAGAGAGACATAGCGAGAGAGGAAACACAAGCAGAGGAACTGGTAGAGGGAGAAGCAGGCTCCCCACGGAGCAGGGAGTCCGATGCGGGGCTCGATCCCAGGACCCTGGGATCATGACCTGAGCCAAAGGCAGACGCTTAACAACTGAGCCACCCAGGCACCCCTCTTTTGTGCTAAGAAATCTTTTAATTTATTTACATTTCTTCATTTCACTTAAAAGCTATCCATAAAGCAGCTTGTAGCCCATCTCTTTCCACCACTGGGTCTAGGAGTGATCTGCAGGGAACTGGTCCTTTGGCGTGAGGTTCAACCATGATTAGCCCCAGGGAAAGGGTATGTGTGCGTATATGTAGTAGGGGGGCTGCGAGTTAACACAGGCAGTGTTCACTCTTTTTCATGACGAATTTAGGGATTTATATTCCCAGGTGCCCTGTCCCTCCACCCAGACCAGGGTTCCCCAGGCTCCTTTCCCATTGGCACACGTTTCCACCTCAGACAGTGTACTCACTGGAATGCACTTCTTCTGAGAGCTGGGGTTGACAGGGCGCCAGGACCCTAGAGAGAGGTAGCTATCTCTGTCTGAAATTCCAGCCACGTTCTAGCATGGCTGCTCGTCAGAAATGTAGCTTTTCTGTGTCACTCTGTACCCGAGGTACAGGGCAGCAGAAGAGCTCTGGCAGGGAACTGGCTTCCAATCCGTTTGGCCACTGTCTGCGTGGCGTAGGGCATGCTGCCTCCCCTTTTGGAGCTGCAGTTCCTTCCTATGGAGCACAGGCCCTTGTTTCCTCTCCCTACCTCCCCAGGGTCCTGAGAGCACCTAATCCAAGAGGTAGGTAAGGACGTGGAGCAGTATTAAGGCCAGGTGGAGGTTATCGCTGCGATCAGAGAACATGGGGCATCAGCCAGCAAGCATTTTCAGGTCCTAGGCAGCTCAGCCAAGACAAACACAGGCTTGAGGAAGAACGGGAGGATGGACATGAGGAAGCTGGGCATGCTTCCCAGAGGGAGCAATGCCCTGGAAGCCATGAGATGGGTACCTAATGATAATAGCTGACAGTCCCTAGATGCTTATTAAGTGCCTGGCAATGTTCTAAACAAGCTATACAGAGCTCAGAACACGTACAAGTCTATGAGGTAAGTATTATTATCATTTCTAACCTTCCAGATGAGAAAACTGAGTCACACATTAAAGTAACTTGCCCAAGGTCCCTCAGGTTTGACAATTTAGCTCCAAGTCTGCTTTTAGCCACTAAACTCTACTGCCTCATATTTCCTGCTCTGTCAGTCAGCTCTTGGCAATCTTCACCTGTAAGTTTTGAGCTTTGTGCCCCAATGTGAAGTGTCCCAGGACACCGGAAGTATAGACTCTAATGATCACTTATGTCAAGTGATATGGGTTCTCATCCTAGTTCTTCTACTGATTTGGTGAGTAACTTTGAAAAAGTTTTAGGGCTTGATTTTCTCGGCTGGAATACTTTTGGTTTCACATGATCTTAACTTAGGGTTATCTAGAAGTGAGGCAACAATTATGATAGTAATATCCAACATGTACTGATTGCTTACTATGCGTGAATGGTGTTTAGCAGTTTACATACCTCCTTTAACCTTCATAATAATCCAATGAGATGGGCACCATAATTGAACCCATTTTACAGATGAGAAAACAGATGTGAACAGAGATCCCAGCCAACTCCAGAGTAGTTTAGAGTTGGGATTTGAACCCAGGCAGGGGGACTCAGACCCTTGCTTCCGATCCCTCTGTCACAGTGCCATGCTAACTGCGGTCTTCAGGGTGCTACCACCCTACCTCAGGAGACGATCACAGAGCCCCATTAAGGTTCTTTTTCAAGGATTATTAACCCTAATAATGGAAGTTAACAAAACTGCTCAAATTTGGGAGAAAGAGCAGAGGCTAATGACAGAACAAAATAAGCCAAAGATCTGACAAAGAAATTATACAAACGTGCAAATGAGACCTTGCGAGGCAGCCAGGTCCAGAGGCATTAGTGACCTTTTACAAATGAGGCAACTAAGGATCTGAGAGCCAGAACTTAAATCCAAGCCACCAAGTCCCTGGCCAGTGTCACTGAGTGTCAGTGTTATTGAGCCAGAGCTACTGCACAGTTCCTCTCCAGCTCCTGTGACACGGCACTTTCTGTACATCGTTCCTTGGGTCCTGCTAGCGTCGGGTACAGTCCAGGACTCTCGGGTTTCGAAGGCAGGTCTCACACTTGCCTGTTACATGGCCAGAAAATGTCTATGCTAAACACAGACTCTGCACGGAGCTGGTACAAGAAGGAGTTTTATAGAGGCACCACCTAGGATTTAAAAATTAAATACACAGATGGTTGTACTGGGTTTCTCATGCTTCACATCTCCCATTTTGACAGGGGAACAAATTGACAAGTTTACAATTTCGCCTCCTACTGCAGCTAGGACAATGGCATTGAAAGGAAAGTTGAGAGACTGGATTCTGCTTTTACTTCTTCCCCTCACAAGTGACCCTGGACGGGCCCGCCCCTACATGCTATAAGGTCTCAGTCTTCTCATTGGAAAAGTGGGTCTAATTCAGCATCTATGCTATCTTCTTCATGGGGTCAAACAAGACGGTCGATGGGGTGGTACCATGAAAAGTACGAGCTGATGAATAAATAGGAGATCAGGGCTCAGGCGCTGACTTAAGTGTGCCAGAGCCTGAGCTCACTGTGACTCAGTATCTTGCTGCATGATCACGACAAATTTCAACACAGGGCTGGACAGCTGCATTTTGAGGTGAGAGAGCTGAAACTTGGAGGAGTCAAGCAACCTGCCCAAGGCCAGGAGAAAGTAGAACTGGAGCCTGTGCTGAAGAATGGCTGGCTCCAGGGCCCTGACCGCCAGCCCACCTCCTCCGAGGGGTGATGGCGTATTGCAGGATGCCATCCCCATGCTTTCAGGAGCCCCTGCACTGGTGTCAGTCGGACCCTTGTTCAGATGCACCGACTGAAAATGACCTGCATCATCAGTCTCTTAGCAAGCCCCGTCTCCTTTCTACACCCGCAAGTCAGCTGGTGCTTTCCTTCTTCTTCCACTGTGTATGAAGACATATTAAGACAGCTTGGATAAGGAGATTATAATTTGTAATTAAATATTAACCTTTCTGACAGTATTAAAATTAAACCACTCAGAATTCTTCATCCCTAATCAGGTGGTTCCTGCCCGTAACTGTATCTTCCCTAATAGTCTTGCTAGTTTATGGCTCTTTCCAGAGTGCTAATTGTTTCAATCGCTGCCAACCTGATGAATTGTCTTAAAAATGCTATTTCAGTTGCAGCATATTAGCATGCCATGTGCTGCTTCTTGCCTACTGCCTGTCAAGTGGGTCTGCTCTGGGCTAGGCTGAGACAGAGCACAGCTACTGGCAGAGCCAGGGAGGTTTTGGAGCCTTTAGTCAGTTATCAGGCAGAAGGGGGCCGGGGATGTGGCTCAGGAGGACACAGCCTGAGCGACCTATGTTGTTTCTGTGGCTGCCAGGCCCTCAGGGAGGAGGCAAAGGGGCAGTGAGGCCAGAAGCAGGATGGAAGGTGGCTAAGACTCTGCTGCTGGGGCAGTTTTGGCTGACAGAGGCCTGAGTTAATTCCTCACTGCCACAGCTGGGGAGGCCTTCCACAGAAATTAGACAAGGGCATCTGGGGTCACGGGCAACCTCAGGTGGTGGGCAGGGGTACCTTAGCCTCCACAGGGAAAGGCTGGTGGAATAATGTTTGGCTTTAGTTGAAATGTTTCTGCAATCTTCAATTGGATGGCTCTGACATTTCACTCTGTAGAAAAATACTTCCAGTCACCCCAGAAAGTCAAATTAAGTAGGTCTGGAGAGCCTGAAAAAATATGGGATAGGGACAGGTCTCTCTTGTGGTGAGTCCAAAGGCTCCGAAGTCATGGGGAAAAGGGGACTGTGACCACTCCACAGCTTAGGGCCTAAGAAATCACGTTTAAAAGCTCATCTACAGGGGCACCTGGGTAGCTCAGTCAGTTAAGCGTCTGCCTTCGGCTCAGGTCATAATCCCAGGGTCCTGGGTTTGAGCCCCTCATCGGGCTTCCTGCTCAGTGGGGAGCCTGCTTCTCCCTCTCCCACTACCCCTGCTTGTGTTCCCTCTCCTGCTGTGTCTCTGTCAAATAAATAAAATCTTAAAAATAAATAAATAAATAAAAGCTCATATACAGGGGAGCCGGGGTGGCTCAGTTGGTTCAGCAGCTGCCTTTGGCTCAGGTCGTGATCCCAGAGGCCTGGGATCGAGTCCCGCATTGGGCTCCCTGCTCAGCGGGGAGCCTGCTTCTCCCTCTGCCTGCTGCTCCCCCTGCTTGCACTCTCTGTCAAATAAAGAAAATCTTAAAAATATATATATAAAAGCTCATATACAATGGAGAGAAGCAATATGGCATCTTGTCATTCCTACTTGTTTTCTTCTACAGGCCCTAAGACTCTCTCTGGCATGGCCTTGATGTACAAGATAGTAATAATATGTTTCTAAAGCTGTTTCCCTTTCTAGCCTGAGTTCCTCAGGGCAGGGAGTGTGTCCTAAATGTTGAGTTATCAGGATCTAGTACAATACCTGGCCAGAGTAGATGCCTGAAAATGCATGGATGAATCTCATTGGGTTCTCCCAAATGGCCCAGCAGTCAGGCAGGGCAAGGATTATTTTTCCTGTTTCATAAATGAATAAACTGAGGTGAAAGGAGGTTGGATAACTTGCCCAAATTCCTGGAACAATTGGTGGCCAAGCTGGGGCCAGATTGAGGCCTGCTTTCTGGATCAGGGTCCATCTTTTTGAATCACTATTGCCAGATTCAGGGAGCCTAGAATTTTGGGGGCTAGCAGTAGTGGCAAGGTCTCCGTGGCGTGCACATCAGGGCTACATCCCAGCCCTTACCTTTTTGGCATCTTTGTGCATATATTTGGCTGTCTGCTTGGCCAGCTCTGTTTTTCCTAATAAGAAGGAAAGAAGAGGTGTTGGGTTAGAACCAAATGACTGTCTTCTGGAATTAAAGAATATTAGAAATGCATGGACATTGAAAATAATATATTTTATGGATGGGCTCAGGGAGGGTTGGTAACTCTCCCAGTCACTGGAGGGAGAATTAAAGGTGGAGCTGGAACCAGAATCAAAGTTTGCATTGCATCTTGATTTTTCTGTGGATGGAAACTGAGACTTTTTTTCTAATGGCAGCATCCTAAGAGTGGGAGGTGGACTTTTATAATCCAGAGCCAACTTGTCGTTTGAAGCCCAGTGCAAACCTTGCCTCTGACAGGAGCACCCTGACTTCCTGGTCACTGCACTGAATCTCTTTAGACACTCATGGTCTTGCCATCCAGCCAGGCCCTGGAGCCACCGGCTGAACAGAGGCTGGGAGGGGATTAAGAACACCTCTCCTCGGCCTCATAGCCTTTCTTTGTAACATAAAGAAGGAATGACAATACCAAAGTGGTGGCTCTGAAGGGTCATTTGGTATGATGGCCAAACCTTTGGAAGTCACTGTCTAGCAGAGGAAATCAAGTTCTACAGTATCATGGTGAGATGGAGGTAACCTACTTCTGGGGGAGTGCTAGGTCCATGAGGGAAAGAAGAGACAACAAATGCTTGAAACTCCGCATCAGGACAATGGTGGGAGGAGGTGGTGCAGGTGGGGGTTTTGTGAGGGTGGAGAGTAAGGGGGTGAGAATGCCTAAGATAATCCAGCCAAACCGACTAGAAAAGTCCCCAACGCGTTTGACTGAAACCAGTTTTGCGATGCACTCCACACTGTGTTGGCCTTATGGGGGGCTTTCTTTAGCTTCCTAGAAGGTTATGCCCCGAGCTGTACTAAATAAGGTTGGTGTGTTGGGCAGTGGAGGTGGTTCAACTGTTCCAAAGGGCAGCTCTGGGGATGCAGAGTAGCCGGACCAGGGCTATCAGACCCCAAAGGGCCTGGTCGTCCAGGTGACATAGGCCCTGCACCACAGCTTCCAGAGAGAGGGGCATAATTCCAGCTGTTCCTAACATGACAGATAATCCTTTTGCTAGCTCTGTAATTTGGAGGCGGTTGTTTTCAGAGCTGGAGTTGTATAGAAGTGGATTGTGTGACCCTGGCCCATAGCAGCTAGGGTTCCCCCAGCTCTCCTCCCCCGCCTTGTCAATCTGTTCCCAGTTACCTATTCCAGATGATCCCAAAAAGAGGAAGACCAGAGGGTGTTCTTCATCGTACCAGCCATTCTCCTTCCTCCGGATCGCTAGGGCCAAACACACAAGATTGGGGGGGGGGGTGGACAGGGAGGGAGGCAGATAAATCAATGACACAAAAGGCAGGATAATTATCACTAAGTATACAATATGTTTTACTGCTCTGCGCCCACTCAAAGTCCTCACTACCATTAGTGCTGCCTAATCTGATTAGCTGGCAAGGCCCCTAGAGACACCTAATCAGGTTAGCATGGATTTGGAAAGCTGCCCAGAGCAGATTTCGGATAAAGTTTTCCAGGATGAGCACTCAGCGTTGCCAGGGAAACTGAAAGGCGGGTGGATGGTGAATGGAAGGGTAGGGGGCTGGTGAAGGAGAATTCAAGAGGAACTTTAGATTTCAGATGGCTGGTTCCCCATCTACTCACTACTGGTGGGAGACTGAGCCTGCCTCCTATGCAAATAGAAGAGACAGAAGCCCATGGCAGGCCCTAAGGGATCTGGGGTGTGAGCTCTGGACTCTCCCATTTGGGGAAACAAAGATCTAGTCCACTGTCTGGAAGTATAGCCAAATGTACTTTCTGGAATCCAGTCAAGGGTAGTGTGGAGATCAGGGTACAGATGGTGAACCACTCGGTTAGCACTGCCACTAACCATGGCCTCCAGTGGGGAGCAGTGGTAGGGGCGTGGGACAGATCTATACTAGGTTCCCTGGGAGTTCAGCTCTGCTCGAATGAGACCTGACCGCTCCTCTTCAGGAGGAGGTATATATATAATCAAGGGCTGCGTATTCAAGGTGAGGAAATTAAGTGCCTAACTACGGAGTGGGAGAATCAGGCTCAGAGGCATCACTCAGGCAAAAGAACAGGGGGAGGAATGAGGCAGAACCATTAGAAGAACAACCATTTATTGAACATGCTGTTTGCTGGGCACAACAAAAAAACTGTCAACATTTTTTATTACTCAAGACCCACACAAACATCATGAGAGGGAAAGTATTATTCTCAATTCTATTATACTAAACAGGAAACTGAGGCAAAAGATAAAGAGACTTGCCCAAGTCATACAACTAGATTACTAGTTGACTGGTAGAGATGGTAGAGTCTCTTCTCTCTCTAAACATTTCTTTTTTTGCTCATATATGGCTGCTTTAAAAAGTGAGTATCAGTTTGGGTTGCATTAATGGGAACATGGCAGTCAGAAGCGGGAAGGGACAGAGCACTGTGTTATGTCAGGGTTGGTCTGCATGTATGGTCTGGTTCTCAGAGTGTCAGGGGGAGATAAAGGGATATACGTCAGAAGACAAGGCCTGGAAAACAAGTCAACTGAGAAAGAGCTGATGGTCTTGGGGAAGTATTGGCCAGTCCTGAGGTACAAAGATCCTAAACGCTATACTGTGTGCTACAATCTGTATGGCTGGGTTCCAGAGAAGTAGCTGCGGAGGTCAGGGATGGCTTTCTGGAAGAAGTGGGACTGATGAAGGATCATGGAGGCTGGGAAGGATCTGGAGGGAAAAAAGGTGGCCACAATGACACAGGTGGAGAGACAAGAATGAACATGAGTAGTTGTGGGTGGAGTCAGATTATGGTCTCAAATACCTGCCTTAGGACTTCAGGTCCATGTTGTGGCCTTTCTCACCTCAAACTCAAATGCTGCTACCTAAAGATCTTTCTAGTTCTGGCCTCAGCAGGAACAGATGGAAGTGCAACCTCTTGGGAGACACCCCCTGAGAAAAGTCCAGCCTCTCCCTTGGGCAAGGTCCCAGATCATCTCTAAACTAGCTGAGCCAGCCCTATGGAAGGCTTGGCTCTCAGAGGAACCCACCGGCCTCAGAGGTACCTGAAGGCTGGGGATGATGAGGGGTAGTCCAACCCTGGCTGAGATGGGAGTCCCCAGTGCCCCGAGAGAAACAAAAACCCATGGGTGGGGTTTTTGGGGAGGCAGAGATATAAATGGCAAAGGCTGGACTTCTGTGGACACAATATGTAGATGTGTGTTGGGGCAGGGGTGAGAGAGGGGTCATCTGAAAGGAATCACATTCTTCCAAAAGTTGGGGGAACTGAGAAGGTAGGTTGGAAAGAAGCTGAGCATGAACTGGGTTCAGGCTTCGTGGGGTATCTGGGGGAGGCAGAAGTGCCCAGGCATCAGACAGGTGGCCTGGGGGAAGTGGGGTTCCCCAGGTGTCAGGTACCTGAGGTTCTGATCTTGATTTCTCTTTCAGGAAAGCTTCCCAGCTACTGAGAGCTACACACTGCTGGGCTATGCAGTTCAAAAACACCATGGAGAAGGTGGAATTGAATTATGCCTGGGGCCATCTTTCCCCCTTCTTTTCTAATAATGCACCTGGGAGAGAGCTCTTTATAATGCCAGGCAGACTCCACTGCACAGCTGTCCCTGGCCAATTCTGCCAGACCCGGGGCATGAGTCTGGGGTGGGTTTGATCTGGCCCCCTGTGAAACAGGCGAAATGCCAACCATTAAACAATTACAACTCTGGATATTTCTAATAATATCTGAAGAGAAAAACGACCAAGCAGATGGAGTCCGACAGAATGAAAAATGGAAGCAGCTAGGAAAGACTGAGGAAGGCAGGCCCCCAGGGTGTGTGGCTGCCAGGGTGGCTGATGACCACGGCTGGGAGCCTTGAGGGTTCTGTCAGGCTGGGGCAGAGACACTGATGGGCCACTGGAGACGTGGCCATAGGTACTGATGTCTCACTGTGGACCAGCAAATGCAGCAACTTACTCTGCTAGACTTTTCAGTCTATTAAAAACTTCCATAGACATAACTTCATTTGAGCCTCATTATGAATCTACAAAGCTGGCAGGGCAGGGAATTTGATTCCCTTCTTCTTCTTCTTTTTTTTTTTTAAGTTTATTTAGTTTTTAGTAACCTCTACACCCAATGTGGGGCTCGAACTCACAACCCTGAGATCAAGAGTTGCATGCTCTTCCGATTCAGCCAGCCAGGTGTCCCTTGGTTCCCTTCTTACAGATGAGGAAATACATGCAGAGAAGTTAGATAACCTGCTCAAAGTTACACAGGTAAACAAATGAAGGCCCCGGGCTTTACCCTCAGCTCTGGCTAACTCTCGAGCCTAAACTTGTGCTTCAGGAGTTTAAAGAAAGGAGTCAGCCCTCCCCGGCCACAGCACCTCCTCATACCCTAGCCTCACCCAGAAAACTTGTCTTTCCGTAGCTTCCAGTCTAGGTCATTCAGCCTTTGATACATGGCCTCAGGAGCCCCTGTCCTCCGACTGTCTCCTGACTACTCTCTGGGCTCGAGATGGTGTCATGGTCCCCTGAGCAGGCAGCTCAGCCCCTTCCTTGGCCGGTCCCATCTCTGCTAGCTCCCACAGGCCCGGCTGCCTCTCCACAGGCTGGGCCAGCACCAGTGCCTCCTTGCTGTGTTCTTCCCCTTAGCAGAACGCCTTCTCCCGGCTGCACCCACCACTACTGGACCATCTTCAAACTCACATGCAGCAACCTTTTTGATGACCCAACCCCACCTCTACTCCATTAACTCCCGGGGTCTGTATTCTCTGGTCCACTTCACCTACAGGGTGGTATGGTAGACAGAGTAGGAGTTATAGGATCTAGTTTAGAGTCCTGGCTCTGCCACTTTCTAGCTAACTGGCTTTGAATAAAACACTCCTGTAGAGCCTTGGTTTCTTCAGCTATAAAACAGGAATGGTCAGACACATGCTATGCCAGCCCCGCAAGCAGATGAAATGAGCCCAGGGTTATGAAGGCACTCTGTACGAGCCCGATAATCAGAAAAGTGCCAACCACAGTAGTCACAGGAGCAGTGGCAGCGGTAGTGGTATGGGACACATACCTCTTTCATCCTCGTGCTAGTCCTGAGCAGTACTACCTCCATTTTACAGAAGAGAAGATGGGGGCTCAGTGAGGGGCAGTGCAAGGCGTTCCATCCACCTGTGCCTTTGTGTCCTGGAGGAGGGTGTGCCCAGGCTGTGTAATCTGTGGGAGTAGGTGCTAGAGGGACCCTTGGGACTAGCCCAGAGGTGGTATAATGCTTGCTGACTAAATGAATTAATTGTTGGTCTTTCTGGAATCACAAGGAGGAAAAAACAGATACTTCGATTTCCATTTTACAGAGAAGAAGAGTGAGGCCTGGACCCGAGTCTCAATACTCCCAGAGGTCATTATCTACCTGTGGGTGAAGAAGGCTTCCTTTCCTCTCTCTTCTTAACCCCTCTCCTGGGAGCCTTCTCCATCTGTGCAGCAAACAAGCTCTGAGCCAGGTACTGGGCTAAAGAAAGGTCTGTGCCATTTAGGTGAGCGCTGCTGTGTGGGATGGGAGCCCTGGGAGAAGTGTGGGAAGAGCCATCGTGCCCGACTGACACCTGCCAGGATGATGAGGGGCCACTGCCAGGCAGTACGGGTGTGATGCGACGTTCCAGACAGAGAGACCCATTGTGTGCAAAACCAAAGTGAGAGGAGACAGCTGCCTCCTCCTCCCATCCTAGGCCTTTGCCTCCGTCCAGCTCCAGGTTCTGAGGCCATCTGGGTGGGCTGACTCCTCCCTCCTGGCAAGTTCTAGTGATCTGGTGTGGGAGGGTTTTTTTAGCCTAACATGTTTGGAACATGTTTGTCCCATGCTTGTGGCATCTCTTAGGGAAACCAGTCCTTCAGAGGAACTCTTGTGGTTGAGTCACGTGAACATCTTTAGCAATCTCCTGTCTATAGCTTGTAGGTTCGGGGAGCACAGCAAGTGCTCAAGAAGTGCTTGCTGTCAGAATGGGTACTGACTGGAGCCTCAGGTTGGAAGGATGAGAGAACAGTTCTCTTCTTAGTCTCTAAGGATTAGTGTTTCTGAAGGCAAACTATTGCTGCTGAGTGGTTACATATAAACAATGCAAACAGCTTTTGCTGAACACCCTCCACCCCAGGTGTGTGTGCACGCATGTGTGTGCTGGGGCAGGAATTACTGGAAGGAAGAGCACCACCCTTCCAGAAGGAGGCTGGGATGAGAATCTGTGTCGGAGAGAGGCTGAATGTCAAGAGGGGCTCAGGCTTCATTCACTCGAGTTTAGCACACACACCTGTGTGCCCAACCCTGGGGAAATGCTGAACAAGAGGTAGTTCCTGACCTTTGGAGAGAGACATTCAAAGAGATGTCCTGTGGTAAGTACAGTGATGAAAGGTGTCCATGGGAAGCCCCACAAACGGGCCCTGTGTCCTGGCGGGGGACTAAGAAGGCTTTCTGAAAAAGGCCTGGGTCTTGAGTATCTCGGCAGGCCAGGGAAAGGGCAGGATGGTCTGGACAACGAGAACATATGAAGTGGTATGGGTTGGAGGTGGGACTGCAAGCAGTTTTCTAAATTAATCACCGCTGCGCCATGACTCAGGGATGGCCTGGATGTATATCTCAGCTCAGAAACAGGACTCTGAGGGGGGTCCAGAAAGAGGCAGGCCTTGGGCAATTACAGTTCTGGACTGTCAAAAATGGAAGTAAAGCATGAAATAGCCCACTGTGTGCCACGAGGCTGATGCTGAGATTCTGAACTCAGAATTCTGATTCTGAAGGCCAGACCCCAGCAAGGAAGATCAGTTGTGATGGCTGAGCTTTCCTGAGGGAATTCATGGGCTTCAGAGTCAAGTGGGAACAGGTGCAATGGGTGTTGGTGATAAGCCCCTGGTTAGAAGGAGCTGCAGGGAAGCTTCCAGGCGTGCAGGCTAACCCAGAGCGGGGCTGGGGAATGGCTTGTCCACCTGAGGGGTCAAAGGTCAAGTAGTGTAAGTGTTACTATTTCAATACACTCATGTTCCTAGTATGCTTGTGAGCTACTAGAGGGCAGGCTTACAGCTTCTCTCCTTTCCTCAGAGCACAGAGATGGACAGGGGCCCAACCAAATTACTTTAACAAACTGTACTACACATCTACTTCACGAAGAGTGCTGTGCCAGGAACTGGAAAAACAAAAATGATTCAGTCATGGTCTCTGCTCTCAGGAGTCTACAGTCTATTGCTCCTGAACTGAGTTAGGCTAAGTAAAAACCAGCCAGAGTGTGGGACATGGGGTCGGGAAAGGGCCAGAAAAAAAGTTATTCCAAGCAGAGAGGGCAGCAGGGCAGCGCCCACAAATGCAAGCAGATCAATACAGCACGTCCAGGGAAGCAGAAGCAGCCCGGTGTGCATACCGGCCGGGGGGGCGGGGCGCAGCAGCATGGGTGGGCCTTGTACCCTGGTCTACGGCAGCAAGAGCCACCCAAAGATTTTAGACAGGGGAGTTTTCACATTTTACAAAGCTTACTCAGCTGGGGAGGAGAAATGATCATAGGGGAACAAAAGGAGGCAGGGAGACCAGGGGGGAGGCCACTACATGGTTCAAATGGGAGATCCTGAGGTCCTGAGCAAGGGCTGTGGTATTAGGAAAGGAGGGGAGAGGCCAAGTTTGAGACCCATTTAAGAGGCAGAATGCTAGAACCTGATATGTGACGGGCTGTAAGGGGTGAAGGAGAGGGAGGAGCCAAGGAATTGTCTTAAGTTTTTATTTAGGAGACCAGGTGAATGGTGGTGCCTTTACTGAGGTAGGAGCACAGGAGGTGGGTTAGTAGGAAGAAGGGGGTGGAGTCTAGCCCTGAATGTGCTAAATAGACAGCTGGTTGCTTTTCTGAGAATGGTGGGATGTAGAGGCTCTGAGCTCCCAGGAGGTCGGCCCAATGGGCTAGGCATCCTTCCTCTCCCATGCCTAAGAGTAGCTCTGGATTCTGGAAGGAGACCCTCACTTTCAATGCCAACGCTCTGGCTTGTGGTATGTATGCTGGCCTTGCTTTGGGTCCAGTGACCCTAGAAGACCAGAGAGGCCATGGGGCATAAGCTAAGGGGTTGGTGCTTTAGCTCCTCCATTTGTAAGGCGGTAACTGTGCGCCAGCCTTGCTAGAAGCCCTGCAGCTGGGGATCACACTGATAAATTCACTGTATTACTTTGCACAAATCAATATCCCAGCACTTACCAGGGGTTGATGTGACCGAAATTGGTTTCAGCCAATTCGTGTGGGTAATAAATGGCCATTTATCAAATCAATTCATTCTGCGGCACTTCTCTGGCTGCCCATCCTCATGGTACCCCTGGGGTGCCAGGCTCCACCCAGCCAGTCCCTAGCATATATCTGATGCTAGCCTAGAGAATCCAGAGAGGCCCGGCCTACCCCTCTGGATCCGCCTCTCTCTCCTGCACCTGCTTCAGTCTAGAGACCTTGAGGCACTGGCTGCTGCTTGCCTACCACAAATTCTGACCCGGAAAGTAACTCATGCTTCACCTAGGTTGGTAGGTGAACATTACCTGATCATTATCAGTGTGATCACCAGCCACAGGCTTCTCAGCTAGGCGGGCATACAATTACCACCATACAAATGGAGCAGATATACCAAGCCCACAGTTCAGGCCCTAATACCTGTCTGTCTTTTCTAGGGTCACTGGAAACCCAGCAGGGTCAACCTACCTAACACAGGACAAGGCGTAGGGCCTTCCTGATCCGAGGCAGAGTTTGGGTTAACAGAATGGAGCTCTGGGTAGAGGGAAACTCTCAGGGCAGACATTCCGACAGCCCCTCGGAGGTGGGCAGCTGGATCATTTACTCCTGCTCTGGGTCAACGACAAGGAGAGACAACGTGGGTGGTACTTCAGAGGTCAGTACAGGATCAGAGGAAGAGGCCAGCCTGGGGCTGGGACTATGGATCAGTCTTGGCTTGAAGGAAATAACTGTGGGCCTGATCTACAGAACATGCCCAACCCTGGATGGTAAACATCCTGAGGACAGAGACTAGAAAGAGCATGTGCTGTATTGTGAGAGCCTCACTCAGCTCACAGGTGAGGAGACTGGCGCTCAAAGAGGCCGAGTGAGTAGCCAGTGTTGCATGGCTGTTAAGTGGCAGACCTGCTCTCAGACCCACGTTGGTCTGATTCTCTCCATCCCAAGTCCTCCTCCCTGCTCCCTCCGACTTCTGGTAGCTTCACATCTTACGGGTTTGAGAGGCCGGGGAGAAGCAGGAGGTCAGAGAGGAGCAGGCAGCCAGCTGGGAAAGGGCCGTGTAAGAAGCAGAGGGAAAACACTACGATGGCAGCGGCAGTGCTGGCCCTTGTGGACAGGAAACTCCAACAGGAGATGCTTTCTGAGCTCTCCGTCCACGTAATGTCTCTCCCATGGGCAACTCCTCTCTTCAACCCCCAAGAGCTCCCAGGGTCTCTCCTCCCTCCACCTCAGCCACAGCCTTGGCAAAGAAGTGCGGGGCTGCCACCCTCAAGGTGGTGGCTTAGAGTGGATGTCTGTATCCAGACACAAAAGGGCAGCCTAGTGTGGTTTGGGCCTGAGTAGTGGGGCCTGTGTGTTCAAAAAAGCTTTCCTCAGCTCCTGTGTGTGGCTACAGGCAGCCTTCTGACCTCTAGCTGGTGAGGCAGCTCTGGTCGTGGACTCCTTTTATCTGCTGCTGAGGTCAGGCCCCTGATGAGGGGCTCATGACCGCCGCATGAGTCCCACTGGTGTGTGAGGAGGATGGAGATCAGGCCGGGCTCGCTGTGTCGCAGGGGTGGCTGCCTTCATTTTTCAATTACTACTCTAATTGGTGTCCTAGGGCTGAAATGCCATTCCATGTCCCAGAGGGGTACCACAATACAGCCTGATGTCTTCTTTTATCAGTGAAGCTCTATCAGATGCTGTCTTTCGCAGTATTGGACCGCATCTGGTGGGACCAAATGCTTCGAGAGAAGGGGTAAGCAACATGAATGGGACCGAGACACTGTAGGGCAGAGGTTTTTAAACTTGAGCTGAGCATCAGAATCACCTGCGGGGCCTGTTAAAACACAGATTGCTGGGCCCTACCCCAGAGTTTTTGATTCCATAGAGGTTCGGGGTGAGGCCTGAGATCTGCAATTCCAACAAGGTCCCAGAGGATGTTGATGCTGCTGGTCCAGAGACCATGGTCTGAGAACCACTGCCTTAGGGGATACCTTGTTTAAGCTGGGCATGGGTTACTCTGCCCTTGCCTCATCTGTCTGAGGTCACATTCAGAGAGTCATGCACCCGAGTCACAGAACAGAGGTGAGCCCACCACCTTGAGCAGAACCTTAGTTTTATATTCTCTCTAGTGGGGTCCGCATGGGTAGGAGGGCAATTAGAGTAGGGGTTATACCAGAGAGCAGTCTGGCTCCTAGTATGGGACACAAGAGCTTCTAGGGTCGAGAAGAAGGTACTTAAGACTTGTTCAGGATGTTTTCCCTAAAATTGAGCCAGTTGTTGACAAACTATACTGAAGAGTGGCAGAGTTCCAGGCTGGGAGACAAAAGATAGAAGTTTTAGTTCTGGCTGAGTTGCTACATTACAAGTGATGGACAAGCTCCTGTTCTCTGGGTCTTAGTCTGCCCACCTGAAAAGTGGGGGATGGGGACAGTGGACCAGAGGAAGTTCAGAGTTAGAGCACAGGAAAGAAGCCTGAGCGATTATTATAAGTGCTCTGTATCTCAGCCTCCTCATCTGTAAAACGGGGATTTGGGGCGCCTGGGTGGCTCAATCGGTTAAGCGTCTGCATTCGGCTCAGGTCATGATCTCAGGGTCCTGGGATCAAGCCCCGTGTTGGGCTCCCTGCTCAGCGGGGAGTTTGCTTCTCCCTCTCCCTCTGCCCCCCACTCATGCTCTCTCTCTCTCTCAAATAAATAAATATCTTTAAAAAAATGGGGATTTAATGGTACTAACCTCACGGGGTTGTTATAAGGACTAAATGACAACATATGTGAAGAGCTTATCACAACGCCTGGCACACAGAAAGTACTCAACACATGTTAAGTTGTAATAGCCACCTCTGCACGGTATGGTGACAGCAGGATGTACACCTCACTGCAGCAGACCACGAGCCAACCCGCCCTCTTTTGGTGCTGCCTGGCATCCTGATACTCACCAGCACCCACTGTGGCGATGGCACTCTCCTGGCCAATGATGTGCTCCTTCAGCCGCTGCTCCAGGGGAAAGCGGCGCCGCTCCTCCGCCTCACGCTTCCGTTGCTTCTCCTGGTACTGTGGGGGGAAAGAGAAGGTGGTTCAGGAGTACCGGGCCCAGAAGGATCGTTTCATTCTACACATAACCCAGGGGCAAAAAACATAGGTCTGGGGCTCCAGGGGTCCTGATGCACACTCTGGCTCCTGGCCACTGGAGGCTGGCCCAGTCCTTCCCACTGTCCCTTTGTCCTAGGCCTCACCTTAGGTGGCCACTGCTCAGGAGTCCTGGCTCACCCTGCTAGTAAAATAAAGTACCGCTAGTAAGATTAACCCCTGACTCTGGAGTCTGACAAAAGACCTGGGTTTGAATCCCAGCTTTATCACTTACAAGACGTGCTTATTACCTGGAGCAAGTTACTTCCTCTCAGTTTTCTCATCTGTAAGTTGGGGATTAAATATGATGATGTACATAATGAGCTGGCATGCAGTACAAGTGCTTAACAAATAGAGGTTCTTTCCTTTCACTTATCCTCTTGAAAATCTTTTTGGTTTTTACTCTCTCTCTCTCTCTTTTTAACGTAAGTTCTATGCCCAACCATGGGTCTTGAACTCATGACCCTGAGATCAAGAGTCACACACTCCACCGACTAAACCAGTCAGGTGCCCCGAAAACCTTTTTGGTTTTTAAACCAGAGCTATGAACACCCTCCACTTCAATGATATTGCATTTCAATTAAACACAATTATTCTGCAATTGCCATGAGTCTGGCCCTGTGGATGCCATGATGGAAATGGTAGGGTGGGAAGGAGGAGGACTGGAACCCAGGGGGTTCTAGTAGCTGCTGAGTGCCTGGTGTGTATCTGGCCCTTGGCTTGTTCGTCCGCTTTAGAAAAGGCAGAAGGAAGGAGACCTGAGTGTGATCACACTACAAAGGAAGAGAGGAGAGCCAGGCCTGCCCTCAGGGAGCTCTAAGTTGGACAGGGAGGTGAGGCAGGGCTTGTACACAAATACTTCTCAGGTGGTTATCAACCATTTTCCTCCAAAGCATGCATGCCTATTTCTAGCTTGTACCTATCACTAAAAAACAAAAAAACAAACAAAAACTTCCCACTATTGAAAACAAATTTGTTGGGGCACCTGGGTGGCTTAGTCAGTTAAGTGTTCGACTCGACTTCAGTTCAGGTCTAGATCTCAGGGTCGTGAGTTCAAGTCCCACACTGGACTCCATGTTAGTGTGGAGCCTGCTTAAAAACAAAAACCAAATTTGTTCCATGTTTGTGAATCTGTCCTCTAAATCGATTATGAGCTGCCTGAGGGCAGGCACTACCTTTTACTCACTGCAGAAGTCCTGGCACTGTGAAGGCAGCTGGTGAATGTTTGCAAAATAAATCTGGTGACAGATAAGAAGAGGAGAGCATTAACAGCTAAACTGGGTGGCACAGAAGTCCAGAGAAGGGAAGGATACACAAAGCCAGGAACATTGTGGGGAGGCTTCTGGGTGACTGGAGGCTTGAAGAAGCTGTACTACTGGCTTAGGCAGGGGATGTGGGACTATCTGGAGGCCAGGCAGGGAGCATGAGTGTGCAGGTCTGATGATAAAGTGCTCATGGAGCCAGGTGGATGGGGGAAGGAAGCAGGCCTTGGAGTGGGACAGAAAGACCTGGATCTTAGGGAGGCTCCTTTCCCCTAAGACCCCGTAACACTGACAGTTTTCTAGAAAGAGAGCTGCCAAGGTAAGGCCCTGTCACAAAAGTTGTGGCTGCAGATTGCTCTTGCAGGCAGAGTGGATGAAAAATACCTGCTGCTTGGGCAGTGTTTTCCTGTTACGGTAGTGACCTTGACAGAAGTTAAAAAAAATAAATAGCAAACAATCCAATTTTGGCTGTTGCTATCAGTCTGTAACTGAAAGCTCCCATCAGTCCTGGGTTTCATATGGAGCAATAATTCGGCGCCAATCCCAGTGGAGCGACGCTTGCCGGTTGGAATCCAGAGTGTCACCGTGCTGCTCCCTCAGGCACCACATACATCACCTGGCTCTGATGACTCCACCATATATCTGCCTCCTCCTCTTCCCTGCCCACCCAGCCCCTCTCAGCACTTGGGTCCACTGGGCTGGAAGGCTCTGATGGGGAGATGCACACATCCTGCCTGGTCCCGCACTGGCTAGCAGCCTGGCCAGCTTGGAGTCAGGCAGGCCACGAAAGCAGCTTGAAGCAATGGAAGCTGGCTGCCGAGGGTTTGCCGGGTCTGCTTCCTAACTTGCCCTCAGTGATGGGTCTCAGACTCTTCCTGCCTCTGGGCCTTTGCTCATACTGCTCGCTCACCACAAAGTTTCCTCTATTCCCATCTACCTCTAAATGCCCTGGTGATCTCAACTTAAATACCACATTGTCTAAGGAGACTGGTGTAAGGCTTCACGCCTGCCCCTGGCACCTCCAGAGCATTTATTTAACTGCCTGTTTGTCTCTCCTTCTCAACCATGCAGTCCTCAGTGACAAAGGCCAAGTCTTATTCAGCTCCACAGCTCTATGACACAGCACAGGACCTGGCACCCAGGAGTCAATGCATGCTGCCAACTGAATGAGGTTAACTACTGGTTGTGGAACCACTCGCTGAGCGCCAGGCACCGTACAAAGGCACTGAACTTTACATACAGTGTCTCCTTTAAGCCTCACAGTTGTCCCTGTGGGAAGTTTGGCTCCTCTTTTGGCTCACAGTGGGGCAAGTTGTATGGCAGAAATAAGTGGCTTGGCTCCAGACAGATCTGAATTCAAACCTCACCTCGTCCACCCTCTGGCGAGCGGACCCTGGGGAAGTTAATTCACCTCCCTGAATTTTCATTTCCTCATCTCTAACATGGAGACAGTAAACTCACACCACCTTGCAGGATCCTGGTGGGATGCTGGTGAGGATTAGGTGCGATAATATACACAAAGAACGTGGCAGAGTCTCTGGCACAGAGCAAATGTATAGGCAGAAGTGGTGGTGTGAGGGACTCAAGTGGACAGCACAGGAGCTGGCCCCTGACAGGCCTTTGGTAAATGTTACTTCTCCCCTCCTTCACTGCATTTTGATAATTATCTAACCCAGTGCTTTTTTGGGGGATGAGGTGGGGGCACTGGAACCCTTTTACCTAATTTAAGCTGTATGGGCTCCACAGATGAAGAATTCTCTGGCTCAAGCAGAATCTAGGAGCCTAGTCCATTTAGATGTCCCCACTGCCCCAGAAATGGCTCCTTCCTGAAGAAGCCTAGGTCTGAGGGTACCATCTCAATACCAACTGGGTTCTGGGGACACCTCCACTGCACAAGGCAGCTCATCTCTGCCTGTCAGTTTTCCTTATGTGGTAGAGAATTCTGCCTCTAGGTGCTTTCCATGCACTGATCTATGGGGCCTCTTAGAACATATCTTTTTCCTCTGTCATAGGCAAACATGACTTTTCTTGCCACTCTGTTGGTTTGGGTATAAACACTTTGGTCTCCCTAAGTCTTCTCCAGGGAAATTTTTTATCTCCTATAACTCTTCGATGTCATGATTTTAGGTGGTTTTAGTATTCCTGTTATTTTCTTGGGCAAGGAGAAAGGGTCCTTAACTTCCACGGGGGTGAGTATGGGGGAAAGGTTATACTGTGATCTGGCTGGTTTCTTTTTCTTTTTTTAATTAATTAATTTTTTTTTAAAAAAGACTATTTATTTATTTGAGAGAGAGAGAGACACAGCGAGAGAGGGAACACAAGCAGGGAAGAGTGGGAGAGGGAGAAGCAGGCTTCCCGCTGAGCAGGGAGCCTGATGTGGGACTTGATCCCAGGACCCTGGGATCATAACCTGAGCTGAAGGCAGACGCTTAACGACTGAGCCACCCAGGGGCCGAAGGAGAGTCTCTGCTGAGCAGGGAGCCTGATTCTGGACTTGATCCCAAGACCCTGGAATCATGACCTGAGCTGAAGGCAGACTCAACTGACTGAGCCACCCAGGCACCTTTTTTTTTTTTTTTAATTTAAAGATTTATTTACTTATTCTGGGGGGGGGGAGGGTGAGGAACGCATGAGCGGAGGGAGGAGCAGAGGGAGAGGGTAAGCAGACTCTTCGCTGAGCATGGAGCCTGACCCGGCCCCAACCTGCAACCTCAAGATCATGACCTGAGCTGAAATCAAGAGTCAAATGCCCAACTGAATGAGCTATCCAGGCACCCCTGGCTGGTTTCTTAGGAGCTTAAGATTGTACTGGGAAAGATCCAACCTGTGGCCTAAATCTAGGCATATCCTGATTCTCCCCCTACCTGGAACCCCAAATATCTATTCAGAAAAACTTCTGAAAAGGATCAGACTTTTTTTTTTCCTTAAAGATTTTATTTATTCAGGGCGCCTGGGTGGCTCAGTTGGTTGGGCGACTGCCTTCGGCTCAGGTCATGATCCTGGAGTCCTGGGATCGAGTCCCACATCGGGCTCCCTGCTGCTCGGCAGGGAGTCTGCTTCTCCCTCTGACCCTCCCCCCTCTCATGTGCTCTCTCTCTCATTCTCGCTCTCTCAAATAAAATCTTTAAAAAAAAAAAGATTTTATTTATTCATTTGACAGAGAGAGACACAGCGAGAGAGGGAACACAAGCAGGGGGAGCGGGAGAAGGAGAAGCAGGCTTCCCGCAGAGCAGGGAGCCTGATGCGGGGCCCGATCCCAGGACCCTGGGATCATGACCCAAGCCGAAGGCAGACGCTCAACGACTGAGCCACCCAGGTGCCCCTGGATCAGACTTTTTGATAAAAATGTACAGGATCCTGGGATTAAACCAGGTTAAAGGTTACTGCTTTATGCTCTTTTCCAAATGCTTAGCACAGAGTTTGTATTTTAAAAAAATGTGTTGAATGAATGAATGGCTTCTTAAGGCATTAGCTATGAGCCCAGGCTTGTGAAAAGCTAGCTAATGGAAGAACCTAGGAAAGGAAAATACTTGGTCTGTACATATTCTATTCGGGGGAGGAGAGAAAGATGGGAGAAGGCACTTGGTAAGGGCTCCTACAACTGTTCCTGGCTTTTTTTTTTTTTTTTTAAAGATTTTATTTATTTATTTGACAGAAAGAGAC